GAGAGAGAGAGAGAGAGAGAGAGAGAGAGAGAGAGAGAGAGAGAGAGAGAGAGAGAGAGAGAGAGAGAGATTTCAGTGGGTCTAGTACCAATATTGTATCGCTCACGATTCTGTTTTTCACTTCAGTTACATGTATCTTGTATTTGTAAAAGTTTCTTATTCTTTTTCAAAATCGAGTAGGTTTGAATTTGAATCGCTCAGAGATTTGATCAGTGGATTGCTGATTTCAGTGGGTTTCACGAGTGTTGATTTGTGATTGCAGAAAGTGACTGTGAAGGTGGGGGTGGTGGAGGGAAGGAGCAAGCGACTGTAGAGACGACGGGAGGAGCAACCAAGTGAACGGATGAAAGGGGAAAAAGAGTCCAAAAGGACGGCAAAAGGGAGCGAGTGACAGGGCGAAAGAAGAGAGACAGACTCTTGTGCTGCAGGGTTACATGATGATGCGACCTCAGGGGCCTATGACGGGCTGGGGAGGCCCTGGAGTGCCACCTCAGGGGTCAAGGGGGTCGTATGGGCCGCCCACTTCCGGCCCTAAGGAACAGCAGGTGCCAACATACGGGCCGCCACCTGTGCAGCAGCAGCAGCCACCCATGGGTTCACCGTATCTCCAGCAAGGACCGCCACGCTTTGGCCCGCCTCCTCAGGGGCCAACCGCAGCGGGTCAGTTATCGGAGGCAAATATGGCCACTGTCGGACCAGGTTCAGCAGGGGGACTAGGACCATTCCCATCTGGACCGCCAGGGTTGTCACCGGCAACGGCCGGTCAGACTCCCATGGGCCAGCGCATGGCAGGACCAGGTGCCCCAGCGCAAGGGTTCATGTCATCGGCCAGCCAAGTGCAGCGTCCCGGTGGTCCGCCGATGATGGGAGCACCACCCTATTCGGCATCCATGGCAGGGGGGTTTCAGCGCGGCCCACCTCTTGGCTCCATGCCACCTGAGTCGCTTCGGTCGGGAGCAATGGGACAAGCTCCTTCCCCTCCAATGCGGCCAATGGGGCCAATGGGGCCAAGTGGCATGGGGGGTCAACAATTCCATCCTACTCCTCAGCAGCATCTAGCCTCGCGAACGGGAGGAGGGATGATGGGTAATGGGCCATCAGCTCCCCCTTCGGGAATGATGGGATCAGCTGGGTCCGGACCTGGACCATGGGGTCCTCCTCCAGGCGCATTGGCAGCACCCGGGACCCAGCCTGGTGCTGGGGTATCGCATCCTCCTCTTCCACCTTCGATGTCGCAAGCAACGCTTCCAGATGGCACACAGGCGCGACCTGATGCGAACCCTTTTTTCCGTTCCCCACCTCCGATGGGCCCTCCAACCATAACTGGCCCTCCGGGACCACGAGCAATGGGAGTTGGTCCACCACCTCGTGGCCCTCCGTCCTCGGCCTCACCTTATGGCACCGTTGATCCTCAGCCAGGCGTCGCACTTGGATCTGGCCCTCAGACTTCTCGGTCATTGCCGCCCGGTGGCCTTCCTCCTCCCCCTTCGCAGCCACCGTACATGTCACCGTACACTCAGTCGACGCTTCAGCCTCCAACAAAGCAGATGGAGCGGATCTCACTGGGTCCTCCTGCAAGTGCCCCGCCTCCTCCTGCTCACTCAATGGGGCCACCTGGACATGGCTCTTTGGCGCCTATGACACCACCGTCTCAAGCACCGACCATGATGCACCCGTCTGTTGGAGCTCCAGGCCTCGGGCAATCGCGACATGTCTATTCCGATCCGTACGGTCCAGGGGTGCCTGGGTCAGTGCAGCCTCCATCTGCTTCTCTTGGGGTTGCAAACTCACCGGCCGCTCATGGCTCTGTTGCTGGTCCAAGGCCGCCTGCATCGCGCATTGATCCCAACACAATCCCGCGTCCAGTCGAGGTCCAGTCGTCACCTGAAGTGTTTCAGACACGTGTAAACAGGATGGCCACTACGCCCCCGCCAGCAACATCTCATTTCGTGGCGAAAGACACCGGCAATTGTAATCCGAGATTTATGAGATGCACACTGAATCAGATTCCAGTGACCGAAGAATTGCTGACAAAGTCTGGGATGCCGCTGGCACTCATGGTCCAGCCACTTGCATTGCCTGATCCCGAGGAGGATCAGATACCAGTCATTGACTTTGGCGAGTCAGGACCTGTAAGATGCTCTCGATGCAAGGCGTATATGAACCCTTTCATGAAGTTCGTGGATAGCGGCCGGCGTTTTCAGTGTAACCTCTGTGGTGCAATGAATGAGACTCCGAGGTCGTACTTCTGCAACCTGGGGCCTGACATGAGAAGAAGGGATGCAGACGAGCGGCCAGAATTGTGCAAGGGCACTGTGGAATACGTGGCAACTCGGGAGTATATGGTCCGCCCACCGATGGCGCCAACGTACTTCTTCTTGATCGATGTGTCAGTGAGCGCCGTCTCTAGCGGCATGACAGCTTGTGTTTGCAATGCCATCTGCAAGTGCCTTAGCGAGTTTCCGGAAAGCTCAAGGACAATGGTCGGGATCGCGACATTCGACTCCACAATCCATTTCTACAACCTGAACCCATCTCTGTCCCAACCTGCAATGCTGGTGGTTCCAGACGTGGACGATGTGTATACTCCTCAACCGTCAGATTTGATCGTCCCTCTGCATAAGAGTCGCGACCATATTGTGGCCCTGCTGGAGAGCATTCCAAGCATCTTTCAGAACACACGCATTGCAGAATCAGCTTTTGGAGCAGCAGTTCAGGGTGCCTACATTGCGTTGAAGCCTACAGGAGGCCGGCTGCTTGCGTTTCAATCCGTGTTGCCGTCCATCGGTGTTGGGGCGTTGCGTGGGCGAGAGAGCGAGGCGAAGTTATCGTCCATGGCGTCAGGAGAAAAGAAGGATGCGCACAAGCTTCTGCTTCCAGCGGATCCCACTTTCAAAAAGCTCGCGGTGGAATTTGCCGAGTTCCAAGTTTCGGTTGATTTGTTCATCACTTCCCAAGCGTACGTGGACGTGGCATCCTTGGCCGTGCTTCCGAAAACAACAGGGGGACAGATATACTTCTACTACCCTTTCACTGTGACCGTCGACTCTCCGAAGATTTATAACGATCTCCGGTGGAACATCACACGACCGCAGGGGTTGGAAGCAGTTCTGAGAGTGAGGTGCAGCCAGGGGCTCATGGTTCAGGACTACCATGGCAACTTCTGCAAGCGGATTTCGACCGATGTAGATCTTCCCTCAATCGATTGCGACAAATCGATCATGGTGACATTCAAGCATGATGATAAGTTTCAGGATGGAGAAGAGGCATGCTTCCAGTGCGCCCTGCTCTACACGACGGTGGATGGTCAACGTCGCATCAGGGTGCACACGCTTTCTTTGGCTTGCACGTCTGCCCTAGCTAACCTGTTCCGGTGGGGAGACCTGTACACGCAGTTCGCCTACTTCTTGAAGCAAGCTGCCGAGCAGATCGTGTCCACCCCGCTGGCGACGGTGAGGGAAAATATCGTCAATCTCAGCGTTAATGTTCTGCATGCTTATCGCAAGAACTGTGCAACGTCTACAGCTGCTGCGCAGCTCATTCTGCCGGAAGCCCTGAAGCTGCTGCCTTTGTACACTTTGGCATTACAGAAGAGTGTTGGACTGAGGCCTGATGCTCTCGTTGACGAGAGGGCGTATTGGCTTGCCCGCGTGTCGTCGCTGTCCACTGCATTATCAATTCCTTTGGTCTATCCACGGATGTTTGCTCTGCACGACCTGCCGTCCGAGGGAGAAGATAATGGTGGTGTTTTGCCATCGCCTGTTCATCTCTCCAGCGAGAAGCTGGAACATGAAGGCATATTTTTGCTTGAGAATGGCGAGGATGCGTATCTTTGGGTCGGGAAAGGAGCCAGTCCGGATCGGCTGTACCATTTGTTCGGCGTTCAGTCTGTTGATGAAATCTCCCCGGGGCACTTTGTTCTGAAGGAATACGACAACGAGCACTCAAAGAGGCTGCATGCAATGCTGAACCAGATCCGACGGCAGCGCTGTTCGTATCTTCGCCTGAGAGTTGTTCGACACGGAGATCCCTTGGAGCACTTGTTTTACTCGTACCTCGTGGAGGACAAGATGCAGGGTAGTATGTCGTATGTAGAATTCCTCTGTCATGTCCATCGCCAGATACAGAGCAAGCTAGCGGGCGCAGTAAATTGATCCCTAGCTCCGGTAAACCTTAACTGATATTTGTCAGATTTGGAGAACCGTTCCTCCTTTTGGATTGCGTCGAGTCCGTTATGTTAAATTTGAGTACAAGGCGGTTCCCGGAAGTAATGCACTCGCTTTTTGGAACTCGGCTTTGGCTCGTTGTATCTTCCAAAGGACCTTTTGGAGAACCGTTCCTTCTTTTGGATTGCATTGAGTCCATTATGTTAAAAGAATTGAGTACAAGGCGGTTCCCGGAAGGTAATGCACTCGCTTTTCAGATCTCGGCTTTGGCTCGTTGCATCTTCGGAAGGACCTTTTGAGAACGTAGAAGGGAGTGCAGGGAAGGACTTCGTGAATGGAGGTGTAGCTAGCAGTGCAGGGAAATCCCAGTCCTTGGGTGGGTGGGGGGGGGGGGGGGGGGGGGGGGGGGGGGGGGGGGGGGGGGGGGGGGGGGGGGGGGGGGGGGGGGGGGGGGGGGGGGGGAGGGGGGGCGGGGGGTTCAGCAAGAGCCTAGAAGGTCATGCACTCGCTGTTTGGATCTTGGCCCCTTAGGAAGAACTTTGTGAACGCATAGGGGAGTGCAGGGAAGGACTTAATGAATGGAGGCATTGCAAGCAGTGCAGGGAAATCCCAGACCTTTGGAGGGGGTTGGCAGGAGCCCGTAAGGTCATGCGCTCGCTGTTTGGACCTTGGCTTTGGGTCATTGTATGTTCTGAAGGGACTTTTCAAATTGAGTATAGGGAGTGCAGGGAAGGACTTTGTGAATGGAGTAGTGGTTCAGGGGAATCCACAGACCTCAGGAGGCATTTGGCGGGAGGAGGAGGATGTGCGAGAGAACAGATCTTTCGCAACAGATTGGGCTTGACGATGAATAAATTGTGTGGGAGGGTACTGTTAGTGGGTGATCGGGATCGGTATCGAGTTTTCTGTTTGAAAGCAAACCGAGGTTTTCTAGTTTTGACTCTACACGAGTGGGGGAGGTTTTTTTTTTACTTTTTTTTTTGGTCTTGTGGGTAGTCGTTGCTCGTTAATGGGGCTCAGCTTTGGTGATTGCCGAACAGAGGACGGGAGGGACGGGATCTGATGGAGCGTGAGCGCCTGATGGTTGGAAATCGAGGGAGGGGTTTGAGTGCAGAAGCTCTCGGAGGAGAGCTGTGGAGACATTCGAAGGGAGAATGGGGAAGATCACATCTCGTTCTGTCACGCTGTGGCTTTAGGATTATATGACCAATTGAGGTTGGAAGGGTCAGTCGTTCGTTTTTCGTTTTGATGCGCAGGGAGATGAGATCAAGTTTGGGATGGTGTGATTGATGTTTGTCTCTTCCTTTTTTTTTCTTTTGCTGCTTTGTTTTGTTTCGTGGGGAACGTCTAAGTTTTATCAGCGTCGTGATGCGATTGCGGTTTCTTTGCTTGCTTTCCTCTGTTCCCCTTCTTTCTTGTTCTTGTGTCGGGGTGAACGTGGAGCTGTGCTCCACGCGAACAACAAATGAGCCATGTCTCACAGAAAACAAGGGGAAAAAGGAACGCTTAGGGCATATAGTTGTGCGGGCACTTTCCTTACTGTATTTAACTGCAATTGCAACCGGGACCTTGATGCATCTGACCGCGATCAGGTCCAGAGCTCAGTCGAAAAAGCCCTAGTGTGACCGAGTACGCCCCCTTAGAAGGCCGTTCGCCTTTTTTGCTAATCCTGCTTTGTAAAATTTCTTCTTCTCGCCGCCGTCTGTGGCAAGCCCCTGAGTGGAACATATGTACAAGTGTATGGTGGATTTCTCTGTGCGGTGATCATTTGTGTCTCTGGAGATGATGATGATGATGATGATGATGATGATGAATGGGCCATGCAGCCCAACACATGATTGCAAGAGAGCATGTCCCAGCAGGGGCTGACTGTCTAGTGCTCCAGCCTCTGTTCCTTCTTTTCTTTTTTTCCTTCTTTTCTTTTTCCCAGCCTCTGTTCGCAACAGGCGAAGGCGACAACTTTACTGATGCTGTTAAAGCACCAGTACTTGGCCCAGCTATCGGCCGCGGAAAAAAAAAAAAAGACTAGAATCATTTCTAGTCGGATGGATTTGGGCGCTCCTGTAGTGGGCGGTACGCTTCCTAAAATCGTGGCTTGTTAACGGGCATGACTTTAGGAAGTATACTGCAGTGGTTTAAATCCTGCGAATAGTGTAGCGAAGTTTGACATTTGAAATTGTGTTGACCTAGTCAACCAGAATGGCCGGGGGGCCGAGTCCCACTAGCAGCGTTGAGCTACCTCAATGCCTGAATCTGGACGCGTTTGCGGAGATGTGCAGAAATAGTGTTGAGTTTCCTGAACTGCATGTCTCCACAAACACGTCCAGATTCAGGTGTTGAGGTAGCTCAACGCTGCTAGTGGGATTTAGCCCTGGGACAAATTGCCTGGCCAGGCCAGAGAAAAGAAAAAGTTGCAAAAAACTTTTAAATGTAGATTTTTTATTTTTGTTTTTTAATTTGGCAATTTGGCTTTTTTTTTATATTTATTTTTTCGATCCGACTGCGAGGCAAAAGTTGTTCAGTTCATTTTTTCTACACGACATAGTTTTTTTTTAGGATTTTTCGGTTTATTTTTTATTTTTTGTTTTTGCTTAGGATTTTTCGTTTTATTTTTTATTTTTTGTTTTTTATTTTTTATTTTTGCTGGTACCTTCGGTGGTCCTTGCACGGCTGGGCAACCAAGGTGACACGGGCGGCCTGGCGGTAGATGTCACCCTTCCTTCTCTGTCTTTTCCTTTTCTGTTCTTGAACTTCTTGTTGATTTTTTTTGTTTTGCTGCCTGGCATTTTTACGGTCATTTGCAACTTCTGTTTTTGTCAATACTGACTCAATAGCCATGTGATGTTCATAATGATTATTTATCACATTGGAAAGAATGGGAGAACTGGGCCAAATGAAGAGGAACTACTGCACACTGTTTAGTTCAAGCTAGTTTCTCTCTCTCTCTCTCTCTCTCTCTCTCTCTCTCTCTCTCTCTCTCTCTCTCTCTCTCTCTCTCTCTCTCCCTCTCTCTTACATGCACACACACATGGACACACACACACATGCATG